CATCCTGAAATGCAGATTATGCCAGTACTTCTTCAAAATTAAATATTATTTTAATTTCAATTTTGATCTCAATAGTACTTCTTCATGGTGTCGACAACTGATTTTAAAATTGTTAGAGCAGTCTGCCCATTGTGTGGGGGTTAAGGTAACTGGTTCTCTCAGGCTGACCATGTGGTTCTAGCCTCAGACCGGCTGGCTTTAGAAACATGCTGGGTGCATGTGCGTACATGGCCAGAATCTGGAAAGGGAGGAGGAATCAAGCAGGGGCTTTGGTGTGACCATTCCCCACGAGGGGGCGCTTTCTCCCTTTCCCTCTCTTTCTCTCTCTCCCTGGCAAATGCATACATTCTCTGGCAAATTAAAAACTAAACAATTTGGGGGACCGGCAGGTAGTGTAATGGCTATGTCACTGGACTCCCATGTAGCCGACCGTAGTTCAAGTCCCGGACCCGGAGGCTTAAACTCACACTGGCTGCGTGTGCGTGCGTGCCCAAGATCCTGAGAAGAGAATGGAGCAGAAGGGATTGTGGCGTGGCCATCCCCCGTGGGGGTTGATTTCTTGCTTTCTATCTTTCTGTCTCTCTCTGTCTTTCTGGCAAGCACACGGGCCCTATAGCAAAAACCTCTCAAAAAAAACCAAAACCAAAACAAAAGAAAATAAAATTTGGTATGGCCAATACCAGAAGGAACTGTGAGAGTATCCTCATATTCCAGTTAGCAATGCTTACTACAAAGCTTCTAGAAATTTTAGTAATAAAACAAAGCAATCTTGACTTAAGAATGACCAATTGGGCGACAGATGAGCAGAGAGAGCCACAGGGAAAAATGCTGGTCTGTGGAGATGTCAGATTAGATAGAGCAAGACACGCTGAGAGACTGAGTGCATAGTTTCGTGTGTGCTGTAGTGCTCCCGGCAGGGCAGTAACGGCAGGAGAGGACTGCGGATGGCCATCTCGCGTCATACAGAAAGATCAGTTCTGGAGAGACGGGGAACTTAAATCTGGAGGCAAAGTTTAAAACTTTACAAAAAGTAAAGAAGACTGTCTCTATGGCATTGGAGTATGAACAGAAATTTCAGGAAGATTAAAAACAGTATTAACTATAAAAACTGATAAACTGAACTTAAAATGAAGGAAATATGTTTATCAAAATTTAACAAAATGAATGAATAAAGGTACTACAAATATAGAGAAATCTAATTCAACACATATATTAAACGATTAGCATCCAGAACTTATAAAGAACTCACAGTTAGAAAAAATGTAAACCAATTTTTTTAAATGGGTAGAAGGTATAAATAACATTTTACATAAGAAAAAAATATAAATTCTCAATAAACATGCAGAAAACATTCAGCTGCACTCAGGAAAATGCAAAATCATAGCTAAACATCAGTTTACACCCATCAGATTACTCTTTTTATTTATTTACTTTTTAAAGACATGTTTTCAGGTTAGCTCTAGAAAAATGAGGGTCCCTGGATTCCTCAACATAGCCTCCTCCAAAACTATTTGATCAACAAAGAGGACACATAACATACACAGACCACGGCTTCCGAATTAGGAGACAGAGGCTGGCGTGAGTTTCAGGCTGCGTGAGTCTGGGAATAACCACCCGGTTCCAAGAGAACCGCCACTGGTCCCTGCTCCGCAGGTCGCTGCTCTGCCAGGGTCTGTGGGCGTGCAGAAAAGACAGGGCTGTTAAAGTCTCCATGGGTACAAGGAAGGGAAGGAGAGGGCAACTGAAATACAGAAAAACGTCCTTGAGGGACTAGGGGGTGGCACAGTGGTGAAGCGCGATGCTCTTGGAGGCCGACTCACACTGGTTCTAGGTTCATGTCCGGAGACCTCCCTGACATGCCAGGCGTGTGCCTGCCCCTCACCCACAGCTGGCTGAGCCTGGGATGGATTGTGGCATCAGAACCTGTTGGGAGCGTGTTCCTCCTCTCTCTCTCACTTCTGGGAAAAAAATAAGTGAATAAGCTTAGAAAGAGTCCCCCAGAAACAAGAACCTCAACACTGAGTACTAAATTGGCAAGTGGACAATGGCAGTTTCATAGCATCAGTCACAGATCCGCAAGTGCCCAGAGGTAGCCTTGCTTCTGGAGGGGGAGACAGGTGGAGAAGGGACTGGAGAGTGCAGTGAGAACAGAATGAAGTAAAAGCAAACTTGCTGCGTGGATACAAGAGAAATAAAGCATGCCAATCCCTGCTCCTGCCCATGGCCACCAACACTGACTTTGAAAACGCTGCGCTTCACTACTGTGATGGAAGAATATGCTACTAGGGGCCTGCAGATGGCTTAGCGGTTACGTCTCTGGACTCCCGCAATGGCCAACCATGGTTTGAGTCCCCCACCTGGTGGCTTAAAACTCAAGTACAGTGCATGTGTGTATGTGCCCAAGATCCTGCAAGGAGAGTGGAGGAAAGGGGACTGTGGTGTGGCCATCTCCTCCGGGGGGTGCTTTCTGGCTTTCTGTCTCTCTTTGTCTTTGTCTCTCTCTCTCCATCTCTCTGGCGAACACAGATGCCCTAAGGCAAAAACCTCTTAGAAATAAATAAAAAAGAATATGCTACTGAACTACAAATACATTTCATAAAAGCCTAGGCATAAAAAAAGAGAAAAGTCGATTTCAAATAAAGCTATGTATCAAGAATACAGAAATGCAAAGCAAAACATTTCAGAGGAAAAATCTCCCAGAAAAAAAAAGTGAAAATAGAAGGAAACTATAATGTAATATTCAAACCTGAATTAACCAAGCACCTGAACACTCAAACAAACATTTGGTAATATAAAAAACACACCTATCATCAGAAACAATGAAAACACACAGGGGACAAGTCAGTGACAAAAAAGATGAAAGCGAAGAAGGAGAGGGGGAGGAACAGACGTGAGAGTTGTCTAACCTGGAAACAGGGACACATGGAGATTGAAGAGTAAATTACACTGTGCCGAGGGACAAGGGACTCACTTTCTAGAGAACGGATCGTAGGAATTTCCATAGCTTATCGTGGGGAAGCGAGCTGTACAGCCATTTTGGATAGCAGCGTCATTGTCTGTAAAAATTGAAGGTGGAGGTACAAATCCGTGGCCCAGAAAATTCCGCGTGCACGTGTGGGGCCATGAATCGCACATCATTTTAGACAGCGCATTGGCATTGCTTAATAAAACGGAGGGCCTAAACTCTGCATGTCGCTCTCGCATCAGCATATCCAGCGCATAGAGTTAATATTCAACGTATGCTCAAGCTCCCCTGTGCATTGGTCAAATCTGACCTGCTGCCTGGTTTTGTCAAGTTTTATTGACTGAGTAGTTGCCACAGAGACCATATTTTCAGCTTTGTAGAATACTTACTTTCTGGCGCTTGACGGTAAAAGTAGATGCCCAGTCTAGAGAAATCCTTACACGCATGAAGAAGCATGTGTGATAATGTTCACAGCGTAAAAGCTGAAACCTCACCAATACTCGTCTTCGGAATAGAAAACTAATGGGGTGAGTTTCCCATGATGGGTTACTCTACAGCAGAGATAATGAAGCAGGCACAGGTGTACACAAAACTGCCATCACATGTTGAAATCAGCTGTTGGTAGCACAGAAGGTGTGGCCTGTTTCTGTGTGTCCCAAGGTTAAAACATGGAGTGGCTAACTATGGAGACTCGTGTGCATGAATAAAGTGATGAAATAAAGCAAAGGAAGACTTAGGTGGTTTTTCATTAGGGGACAGAAAAAGCACACCCAGGGCAGCTGTCACTTGCTGTGCCAAGAGGACTGGCCATATTTTCTTTCTTTAAGAGGGTGGTGTGTCCAAGACTGTTTGCTATCATAGATATTCACATTGCATTGTTCATTTGTTCTTCAGTTTTCAAAAGTTCTTCAAATCCCAGATCAAATGACCATTGGTTCTTTTGGCAAGAGAAAATTAATGTGATACTTACTATCCTATCATCGCCACAAATTATGCTCTCACCCTCACTATCCTACCTATCATATACACAGACTGGAAACTATTCTTTTTTCTTTTTTTAATTATTATTATTTTTTTGAGAGTTTTTTGCTGTCGGGCATGTGTGCTCACCAGAAAGACAGAGACAGAGAGACAGAAAGCGAGAAATCACCCCCCGGGGGGATGGCCACGCCACAATCCATTCTCCTTCATCATCCTCGGGATCTTGGGCATGCACGCACATGCGCCCGGCATGAATTTAAGCCACCAGGTCCAGGACTTGAACTGCGGTTGGCTACATGGGAGTCCAGTGACACAGCCATTACGCCATCTGCTGGTCCCAACTTTTCTTTTTTTAATTTAGGTTTATTTCTTCCATGAGAGAGAGGGACAGAGAGGCAGGAGACAGAGACAGGCATCCCCATCAGAGTCCTCATGTAGTGAGTCCTCAGCTGGTACAGATCATGGGCACACATGTGCCTGGCATGCACAGGGAGGCTCTGGGATGTGAACCAGGGACCCTTCTGTGTGCACAGTTGCTTTCTGACTCTGACTTGGGAACACTTCAGTGTGTATTTAATGAGTTTATTTTCTACATGCGCCTGGAAGAATCAGTTGAATGTATTGGATTATTGGTAGAGTCACAATGCATTTTTGCATAGAAAAACATAAAATGTATGTCATGACTTTTTCAACACCCCAATATTTTCATATATATGAAATATATACTATACACGTACTATAGACACGTACATGCTTGTGTGTAAGTTAGTTATGTTCCATATGCTCAGGGTAATCATAAGACGTAATACAGTAGACACTGCATGGTTCTGCTGTGTTCCATGCCCTCTGTCAGGCTTTGGCTCTGCCCCCCACCAGCTGGGTGAACCCTGAACGTCCTTTCACCTCAGTGCTTTCACCTGTAAAATGGTATGAATAATACCTACCTTCCCTTTTCATAGGGATAAAACAAAATGATGCCCCACAGTCGTTCACGTAAGGAGTGTTGGTTGTCACATCCGGTCTCTCCAGCGCACCGTCTGCCTGTTCGTTGCAGGTTGTACACCACGCCAGTGGACATCGACCTCTGGCCTGCTCTTTTGGTGGAAGACCTGATCCCTGGCACCAGAGTGGGACCAACACTTATGTGCCTGTATGTCACCCAGTTCCGGCGGCTGAGAGATTACAAAAGATAATAAAATGTTTGTGTCTCATATAAGCATAATAACATTACAGTGAGATTGCATATTTTCTGTGTACAAATTTATTGACTATAATAAAGAACAAATGGCATTTCATCATAGAACTCGTATGACCACTGATAACACCAGATAGCATTTATTTTTGTTAGTCTTTTTGAGAGGAAGAGAAGTAGAATGTCTTAGAGGTGATTGAAGAGGATGCACATTAGACTCACTAGTGTTTAAATCTCAGCCTCCCACTCCTTCTTACTGTTTAACTTTGGGAAGTGAATTTCCCTAGACCGGGTCACTCATCTGTAAATCATGTACAAAAGCACTTCAAAAATGTGTGGAAAAAGAACTTAAAGTAGAAGTTTATTTTGGTGGAAAGGAGTTGGGAGCAGGCTAAGACTCTAGTTTCATGGAGGCGGATGTGTTTTCCACAACTCTGTAAAAGTATATAGTGAGGAGGTCCTTTACCAGTGGAAGAGAACTGGAAAATGAAATTGAAGTATAAGTTTGTTTTGGTGGAAAAAAAATTTGAAATCTATGCATAGTATTTTCATAATATGCATTTTCTTTTTTTTCTTTAAATTTATTTTTTACATTAATTCACTATACATCATTACAGCATACAAATGCACTTTCCATCCAAAATACACTGTATGTTGGCTCAATCAAGCACATCAACATACATGTTATCAGCAAATAATTTTCCATTTCTTATGTCTTGTATACTTTGTTTTGTGTGTGTGTGTGTGTGTGTGTGTGTGTGTGTGTTTTGCCATCCTTGATTCCCTATCCCTCACCCTCTGCCATGTCCCACCCTCCTCCCACATTATCTATGGTATCCATGGTTGCTTTCTATGCCTTTTCCCCCCATTTAATTGATTTGCTAATGAACTTAATTAGTCTAAATATTTCCAATAGCAAGCGCAGCTGATATATACCTATACATAAACTCAAGTCT